GGAGTTATTAGGAAGAGATTGACACCGACACTACATAAAGTCATCAATCTCGAATTGGTTATAAAATGAGATGACTGTTTAATTATTGAGTATAGCATTCATCATAAATTATACTCTTTCATACCCAGTAGAAACAAATGATGAAATCATATAAATTCCAAATGAAGCGAGACCCGTATAATGCGTCTATTGCTTGAATGTATCGCCTGTAATGAGAATCTAAACAGTCACGATAGGGAATAGAACACAGTCGGTAAATTTACAGATGACATAATTATTCAATGTGAAATGAAAAGAACAAACAGGAAAATGTATTTTTGTTCAGCTTCATAGTAGCAATCAATAGCAATTATCTTATATTAACCTCTAGATGTCTTTGGGTTTTGTGTTCGGTCAATGTCTTATAGAGATATGTGCAACTGCTTAAAACAACGACTTGCAAGTGTCACTTCTTGGTTTCCAACAGTATAGTAGACAACATTGCTACCAAATCCATGCTATAAGATATCAAAGTGCAGACTTGTATGTTCAGCCTCAAAATAATATCAAGGTTTAAGCAACATTATGGTAACAAGTCCATCAAAATAAATTTTAAAAAGTGGTATGTATATTTCTTTGTTTGATTCAAAAGTTCGTATGTGAATTGTTACAATCTACATAGTGAGAGATAATAAAGGATGACATATGATTATAACATGTTTTAAGTTAACTTACTGTCATATATAGATATAAGAAGATGTGGTATGAGTGCCAATGAGACAACTCTCCATCCAAGTCACAATTTGTAAAAGTAAACCATTATAGGTCAAAGTACGGCCTTCAACACGGAGCCTTTGCTCACACCGAACAGCAAGCTATAAAGGGCTCCAAAAATGACTAGTGTAAAACCATTCAAACAGGAAAACCAACGGTCTAATCTATATAAAAAACGAGAAACGAGAAACACTTATGAACCACATCAACAAACGACAACCACTGAACATCAGGTTCCTGACTTAGGACAGGTGCAAACAAATGCAGCGGGTTTAAACGTTTTAATAGGCGCCAACTTCACTCTACCTGAAACAATAGTGTAACATCACAACATAGAAAGACACATACCGACATATTAGAATTGGTATAAAGTATGAAAGTATTTAGAGTGTGCCTGACTATAGTCTCCATAATAACTTTCTTTAGACTACTTTTAACCATTAAGTATTGGTAGTCAAATACACAAAACTGGTGGCGTAAAAGAAAGAGAGAAAAAATACCATGGAGGCAATCGAAAATCCAATGAATATTCATTAAAAATATCAGGCTTATGATTTAGTACGTCAGAAGCACGTTTCGCCTACTAAACAAGTCTCCTCAGTGGCACTCGAATAAAAAGTGTTGGAAGGCCAAATCAATTAAAGATGTTAAAGAGCATGCAAAACCAAAAATTCTTAAAAGTAAAAAAAAATCTGGCTTAGGCCATTAAAGCCTGTGAGTAGAAAAACCTTAGTATCCTGAATGCATTCAAAGTTTAATGTACAGCAAGTTTACAAAAATGACTTGTTGTTGATATATGTCAGTAAAGAAGTGTTGGATACTTGGCTGGGAATAGGCCTACCCTCGGTTACGAAACGTCTACCATATTTGGCATCGACCCAGTGGTAGTAACACTTAAAGATACAAGGCTCATAATTTTGACCACCATATGAGCTTTTCATCTGAACAATACGCATCAGTTGCGCGCGAATCAAAAATCCAATTCAATAATGAAATTAAAGAAGATTGATTGGCTTTCTATGCCGAATGTGGGAAAACTTTAATATATGCAATGATTTAAAAGCTTCTTGAACAGTAAATAAAACGACCATGGCTATAAATAAAAACAACGATAACACAAATAAAATTGAGAATGGAAATGTGGAATGTGTCAAAGAGACAACTACCCGACCAAAGAGCAGAAAACAGCCCAAGGCCACCAATGGGTCTTCAACACAGCAAGAAAATCACGCACCCGGAGGCGGGCTTCAGCTGGCCCCTTAACAAAAGTGTGTATTAGTTAGTTCAGTAAAAATGGACGTCACACTAAACTCCGAAAAATATAAATAAACTAAAATTAAAAAATATGTAGTAGCAGTATCATCAATATCACTGATAACTTATTGGTAATTCTCTATCCGAGTTAATGAGCAGCCCTGCAAGATCTAGATATCGAAGAGGGGGTGAACTTTGGAACATAGAGCTAAAAGTTACAGATACTAAGACTAGAACGATCAAAAAGTGGGTTTTTTGTCACGCAGTTGAATAACTTGCTAAAGGATATTTTACCTCTCAGTCATTTCGGAAATATTATTACGTGAACGTTACTATGACTTATTGCATTTTGACCTCGTTAAAAGTTAATAGACATATTAAGCTGCTCTGTGATGCCCATATAAAGTCGGACAGTTATTTTGAAGTGCATATGCTTTGGAATTATGTGTAGATGAACGGAAAAAAGGATGTAATCAGAAAAATCATTGTTCAAGACAAGGAATATTTCTATACTAACTGCAGAAGTAGGAGGGGTTTTTATTGGAAACATGCATGCAATATTTATCGAACACATCTGTAAGTTTAGATTTAATATTGATGCCATGGTCTATGTTTAGATTTAATATTGATACCATGGTCTATTCAATGACTGATTTATAGTTTGTTATGTATAATGCACAAGTAGACACGAACAGATTCAGATGGATTCTTTTAATATTAAGTATTGACTAGGTATTCTAATTAAGAAACATTATCTTATAATCATTTCAAAAATAGATTTGTCTGAAATTTATGGACAGTTGCTTATAGTAAATATCACAAAAAGTTAGACACGAACAGATTCAGATGGATTTTTTTAACATTAACTATTGACTAGGTATTCTTATTAAGAAAAATCTATTCAATAATCATTTCAAAAATAGATTTGTCTGAAATTTATGGACAGTTGCTCATAGTAAATATCACAAAAAGTTAGACACGAACAGATTCAGATGGATTCTTTTAACATTAACTATTGACTAGGTATTCTAATAAAGAAAAAACTATTTATTAATCATTTCAAAAATAGATTTGTCTGAAATTTATGGACAGTTGCTTATAGTAAATATCACAAAAAGTTAGACACGAACAGATTCAGATGGATTCTTTTAACATTAACTATTGACTAGGTATTCTAATTAAGAAAAAACTATTTATTAATCATTTCAAAAATAGATTTGTCTGAAATTTATGGACAGTTGCTTATAGTAAATATCACAAAAAGTTAGACACGAACAGATTCAGAAGGATTCTTTTAACATTAACTATTGACTAGGTATTCTAATTAAGAAAAAACTATTTATTAATCATTTCAAAAATAGATTTGTCTGAAATTTATGGACAGTTGCTTATAGTGAATATCACAAAAAGTTTGTTCTCATTAAACACATTCTTCATATCAACTCACGAATATCACGATTTTGGTTTTGCTGTTGATTCTAAAGTCCTATTTATCCCATTGATGAAAAATAATTTGATCCTATTCATTCGTATTTATCGACTCTCTAATCATAAAGTTCAGAAAATAAAATCCCATACATATCACAGTTTCTAATATAATAACATAGAAAATGAATCAATAATATTCCGTTGATAACATTATAGGAATACAATATTAGCACGAACATGATTAGTATCTCATTTTTTTTCTGGTGAAATTAAAACATATTAAATCAACGTTTTCATATTTAACTATTCGCCATAGATATGATGTAAAAATTAAGGCAACATTAGTTTACCGATGTTCCAATCTCGTTTAAGAAGACGAAACAAAGCAAGGTAACAAATAAATACTGGTGGAATCGCATGATTTCAAAAAGGAGCGAGACCAGCTGCGTGAACAGAGTAAGGGTCTCCTGATATGCAAAGCATCGCCGTCCTTGCGAATCCACACTCAGTCAAGAGATAGGAAGGACACATCCAATTAAGATATAAAAACCAAAAGAAACACAGAGAAAAAAGGAATATTAAATATCTTCAAAGATATATGCCAACATGTTTATGAATATCAAAAACAAATACAGTGCAAGTAGACGATCAGACTGGTTTGATAATGCGTAATTGTGTGACCACTATTACTGAAAACATGTCACGATGGCTTACAGCAATACAAGTGTTGTTGAAACAATTATAACAAATGTATAAAATGCAACAAAAATCTCGTAAAACTATGCTATTGTATATTATCTTAAACGACTATGTCATAAACAATCTGTACATGGGACTTAGAAACTATCGTAACATTCATAAAACTTAACAACAATGATATAAACCATTAAGAGTATTATTATATGAAATTGTATAACACACGGGTTTCTATCGACAACTTGTTCCACTCTTTCTGAACAACTGAACATATTATCAAGTGTATAAATGCATGTATATATTGCTTTCGTTTTTCGGTTCAACTGTTTTTTCATTGTAAACTAGGATATTTTATGATATAAAAAATAGGAATACATTTCCGGATTTATAAAGAAAAGTGATGAAATTTTCCCTTTTTACATTTATAAATACTAAATTGTAAAACAAAGAAAATAAATCTTTCGAACTCAATTGTAACTAACCCCAATTGTCAACAATTTTTGCAGTTTTGTTCTTTATCAAAGTGTCTGATAATTTAAAACAAACACTTCAAATGTCTTTCTCTGACACCCTTTTCATTACCTAAGATGTAAATCAGAACAGAAAAGAAGTTCTATAAGACGTCGGGTATTATATTTCTTGAAGAATGGCTAATTATTTCATATTTGGATACAATTTTTATCATGTTGAAAATGTATAAGTAGACTATTGACAAATCAACTATTTTAAACACAAGTGAAATATTCCAAAAGTAAAAATAACATTTATCTGCCTATTTCTCGTAGCTCTAGATTAATGCGATTCATTATAATACCACACGCAAAAATAGTCTTTAAAAACATTTTTTACAATTAAAAATGTCAACTCACCTGTTGGATATCCAAGAAAAATCAGCAGAGAGTTTCCACCACGCAGTTAGACTGTGAATCAATAAAGCAGCATCATTAATAATGATGACTAAAGTCCTGTAGGTGAAGATGTAACTTATACTGAATGTTCCAACTTATTGATTTTATATTAATTGAATGGATTTAAAAAAAAAATCTGGATTCTATATTGTATAATAATGTTTCATAAAACAAACTAATAATTTGTTTATTTATTATTTTGAAATGTATAACTATGATTAATTGTATAAGTTGTCAAACATGCATTTGCTACAGGAAATCTAGGATATTCGAGGAATCCTTGTTTGTCCTCAGATCGTTATGATTTGATTTTAAAAAATCACTTAACTTAAAGTTTATAAATCATACACCCGAGTATTGCTTAATACAAGTATTGCTAGTGTTTTTGCAGCTTTGTAATCAATTGTGGTACTTTTGGTTATAGTTATTTTAATATGATAATAACTCCCTAAAAGTTTCATATTGAAAGGCAATGAACTTTGCTTTTTACCTGTAATTCTAGATAACCAAGGTAAACCCTCAATCTTAGAAGAAAATTCTGGTGTAGAGTTTCCTGTAAAATACTGAAATATGTAACTATAGGATAGGACAGTTATTGCTGTTTATATTTGATTTATTTAAAGTAAGCTCTTTTAGGTAAATTTCGGCAGTATATTTATAGCATTCTTGATTATTTAACGGAATAACATCATCAAGATAACGATAAGTGTTGTTGAATTGATCAATTAAATGGAATTTAGACGTGTCTTTACTGAGTTTTGCCACAAACAGTGATTCATAACAGTAGAGGAACAAGTCTGCTTTTAAAGAATCTATTGGTACCAATATGAATACCTACAACCTGATGATAATACTTTATTTCTCTATTTTATACAATGGTGTTTGTACATGCAGACATCGAATTTTTAATCAAAGGTTACAAGGGACACAAAACTGTTTTTATTTTTTTTGTTTTATAGACCAGTTTTCAACAAACAGTTGGCATTCATATGGAAACCAAATAAAGAATGAAAAATCCCTTTATTTGTTTGTGTTGGGGTCGTCTGGCGAGGATTGAATAGAGACTAGCATTATCCTTCAATTTTACCCATCGCTGTTAAGATGGTGTCCCTAGACCGGATCGAAAGCAACAATGTTTAATGCATAGTCATTTTTATTCATAATAATGTGTCCGCTTTTCGAAATTCTAGATCCGTTTCCGCAAATGATTCAAATTTTTTGGAGACTTTGTTGACCATACATATCTTATCAGACTTTTCAAACGACATAAAAATAGAAAGATATAAGAAATCGACAGAAAGGAACAACTCTTGGACATAAGAAATGACTTTAATTTTAATTTAACAATTGTGAACAATTCATTTTATGTAGCAATATTTTGTGAAACCAAGTGTTTTAATGATAAGGAAATCTTCTCATCGGATCACAAAGGCCATTCCAATTATTGTCGGGGTTCGTGTAGGCTCAATATATGGTGCAATATATTGCGAATCATTTTTGTTACATCGTAAGTATTCTTTTGTTTTGTATGATGTTCATGGTTCTTTGAATTGTGATATCTGATTACCTGATGGTACTTTACCAGCTTCACTATTATTTTGTTGCATGTATTTAACTTTTTTTCTAATTTAGACTTGCAAAGTAAATATAACTAATATTTGAAACAGATTTTTTTTTTATTTGTGCTCATTTCACGATATCTTATTTTTTTTCTAGATATTTGAACAACAACGTTTGCTTTAAACCAAATTATCTTTAAAGAGAGACAATATTTTTCACTCAATTAGGTTGAATTGTGGTAGGAAACAGACGATTAATCAACGCTGTTCATCATCAACATCGATGTTGATTAATGTAATTTTTATTCCATTTGAACTCAGAATGAAGCAAACCTAGTGGTATTTTCTTAATTCAAAATTGATTCGAAGTTGACATGGTCTTATGAGTTGAAATTCTTTGAGCTTGCTTTCAAGTGACTGCGATTAATCTTGAAACGGTACTTTTTGTGTAAGTTTGTTGATAGTGGTATGTGTTATGTACAGATCTGTTGAGTCCAGCCATTTTCGACTGATTTTTACAGTTTGTTCTAATGCTGCACTGTTTCACCATAGTCCAAGGATTGGGAAGGGTTAGGCGCTCAAAACATGTTGAACTCCACCACATTCTTTATGCGAGTCAAAAGTGTTTGTAGACAATTTGTTTAAATCAGACCATTGGTTTTCCCTTTTGAATTGTTTCATATTTTGTTAACCCACTGATTTTTATTGTTTACTATATACAATATGGGTTTTAATATTTGCTGAAGACCATATTGTGACCCTTTGCTGTTTAATCTGTGTCTTTTTGTCTTTAACGGATATATAGTTGTTTCATTTGTAATCATGCAACCGTAACGGCTGAAGCTACCTTGGCTAGCTTGTTGTAGTAGCGAGCATATTTTGAACCTGCTTTCTGAGTTTTGTGCTGTCTCTTATTCCTTTGTTCAAGTATATTGTAGAAATTAATGTAACTAACTTCAGAAACACTTCAAATATAAATGTCTATTCGACAGTTAAAAAAGTATAAAACAAAAACTCGGTTCATGGTAAAGTACTAAAAGCAAGAAATGGTATACTTGCAATTTTTGTAAACTGATACAACCTTTGAAAAAATAGTTGTGCTATAAGTGTTCATTTACAGTGAAATATTTCTAATTTGCTTTAAGGAAGTTATTTCTAGTGAATATTTTTATCTCTCAAATCATTGTATCAAATTTATTGACTACTTGTCTGTACAATCTTTTTACAATTTGAAATTCTTACATGAAGACATAAATTCTATAGATATTTGATAACAATATCGCTAGGATTGTCAGAATCAATGATATATTTTTTATTATGTAATTCTGGCTTTTAAATCTTCAGACATGCTTGATTTATATCTGTCTTAAAAGATCGGAAGATTCTTTTTATATCTCTTGTTATATTTTTATTTGAGTATGCATTGTTTTGAAGGAGTGGATTCTAGGTTAAGCTTACATGAGTACTTTTATACCGCCACAATGTTTTAGCATGTACCAAGCTAAAAAAAAAAGTGACCGTTTTGGTTATATGTTTTATAATTGAAAATATGAGATATGCTGCATTAATTAAAACACAAAATCCAAATCCCTGCATGTACTTGACAAAACCTAGGCTTTAAATATTTTTAATCATTTCAAAAGATATAATCAGATCTTCAACACGTAGCAAAAGCTCATGATCCCTATCACCGGTTTCATTGCAAGGAATCTTGTGTTGTCACTGCATTCTTCTAGTGTTCTGTTCAGACAAGAACAAATCAATCATATGTTGTTTGATAGGAACTGAAGTAGGTTTGTAATGAATCATCTGTCAGTATAAGACGGTATATTTCTGTCATTGTTGGTTTCAATTTTTTCAGGATTGAAAGTTTTGTATTCCCTACTTCTGTGTGGGGTTCGTGTTTTCTAAACTGTGTTTTGTGTACTGTTGTTTTATCTTTCCCTCTTTTCTCTTTGTACCATGGTAATATCTGTCATTCTATGACTTATTTGGTCATGGTATTTTGTTACTTCTTTCTACTTGTTATTCAAAATCATCCGACCACACAGCTTGCAGCTGGGTCTTTCGAATGCTCCCTGAAACCTCTTTCTAAATTATTAACATCAATGTTATCAGCAATCAAAGCCGGCCTTCAAAGTTAGTGTGAAACTACCTATTCTAGATGCGGCGTGAATCAGATGTGGATACTAAAATACTCCAAAGATATGTTACTTTGAAAAAATATCAATCTGATTTCAAACAAAACATTCCCTGAAACTGACATTATCACGATGCTCGATTTCTTGATTCACAACATATTTGCCACGGTTGGAGGACGTGTTTTTCAATAAACAATCGATATTGCCAACTGTGCTCCTCTTCTTGCCGACCTCTTCCTTTATTCATATGAGGCTGACTTCATACATGAGCTTCTTAGGAAGAATGAAAAGAAACTAGCATTATCCTTTAACTTTACTTTCCGCTATATAGATGATGTCCTCTCACTAAATAATTCAAAGTTTGGTGACTATGTTGAACGCATCTATCCCATTTACTCTAGATAAAGGATACAACAGATATAGTAAAGTCTGCCTCATATCTTGACTTACATCTAGAAATTGACAATAAGGTTCGGTTAAAACAAAACTTTACGTCAAAAGAGGTGATGTCGCTTCCCAATTGTGAACTTTCCATTTATATGTAGCAACATTCCAGCAGCACCTGCATATGGAGTTTATATCTCCAAGTTGATACGATATTCCAGAGTTTACGTTTTCTATCATGATTTCCTTGATAGAGGGTTGCTGCTCACAAGGAAGATATTAATTAAACCAAGAGTTCCAAGTGGTGAAGTTGAAATAATCTCTTCGAAAATTTTACGGACGCCATCGCAAGTTGGATGAGCGTTATGGAATATCTGTCTGCGACGGATATGTTCTAATCGCTTTAACCACAGTTACATCCGCCTTTTCCCTAAATGTGAGCTACCGAATTAGACTTATCACCAGGTTTGTACCTACATGAGTAACACGACGGGCGCCACATGTGGAGCAGGATCTGCTTACCCTTCCGGAGAACATAAGATCATCCCCGGTTTTTGATGGGGATCGTGTTGCTCAGTCTTTAGTTTTCTATGATGTGTTTTGTGTACTGTTGTTTTTCTTTTGATTTTTTTCTTTTTTTGACATGGCGTTGTCAGTTTATTTTATGATGAGTTTGAATGTCCCTTTGGAATCTTTCGCCTCTCCTTTACATATATATATATACCGACAGTGACATAATCATCTCTTAATTCTCGAAAAAATACTTGTCTTGTTTCCAAATCATAACTTCCAAAAAAAACCTGCATATTCATATTGTATATATAGATAATTTATTTCACAGCCCGAAGAACAAGTTCTTAAGCGCTGAACATTTACTATAAATAATTTTTTTTAAATAGTTGATATCAGAACTACTTACGTTTTCCTTTGACCTTCAGACAATAGGCTTTATGAAAATTTGAATTATATTGATGACACAA